TAAGGCTTGTCATTATCGGTGTCAAAACCCGAACACTCTTCATGCGCCCACAAACGACAGATTGAGCAACTAATCCAACCTTCACCTTCTTTGGATTTTAGAAAAGTACCATCACAAACTATACAAGAAGTGTCCTCTACTTCCTCGTCACTGGAAATAGGTTCAGTATTTTTTTTATTTTGTCCTTTGGTCCCTTTTCTTGGCTTTTTTTGTTTAGGTAACTTTGTTTCCACAACCTTTCGCTTCGAAACTTTTTGTCCCTTCTTCTCCTGTAACTCTTTTAAATATGGACTGGAAGTTAACACAGCAGTCTTTCCTCGATTTTTGGAAACTTTTCGTGTTTCGCATGTAGATTTTACCTTCGGAGCTGGCATTATGTCTATGGGACTAACGTAATTATTTTTTGAAATTTTTTTAAATATTGGTGTTTGTAGACCGGAACACGACGCAACATTGCTATCCGGTGGTATAGTTTGCGTTGGGCTTGAACTTGATACATTGGAACACGACGCACAATTACTATCCACTGTTATGGGAGAAACATTTATATCCTGCATTACGTTTGTAGTTGATGACGATGTTTTGTCTACCACTGGATTTTCTGTAGCGTGAAAAACTGCATCCTGGATAGTGACAGCATCAGCATCAAGGTCCCTGTCAGTAGTTTCACTGGCAGCAAAGGCCTCTTCTGGAAACACATTTGGATCGAGTGGGAAAATTCCGGTTTTTTTAAAGCCATTAATAGCATTCTGTGGGGTAGATGCCTTTAGATAACTTTTTCCAAAAATGCTACCCACTTGGCGAATCGTAATTGCTCGACCTGGATTTTGCCTCATCCATGTTTCACACTCTTGAGTGTGAAATGTCGATAACGGAAACATGAAAGAAACGTCCAGAGGCTGCAGACGATGTGAAGTGTGTGGAGGGATACACAGTATGTGCACATGGTTCTGTCTGGCAGCCTCAATCAGTTGAACATTTTTGGTGTGCGTTGCGTGCCCATCCAGTATTAATAAAACTGGATCAGTCGCGGATGGTTTGGAGTAATGGAGAAAATGTTCAAACCACTTTGGAAAAAAAATTTCTGTCTGCATCCAACCAGAGGGATGGCAAACTAATACAGTTTCTGGTGGAGTACCATTTAATAATTCAATATTCTCCCTTGTCCTTGGAAAAATAAGTAGAGGGGGAACATACTGCCCTGCGGCATTAAAACAAATAGCTGCAGTTGTGGTTACTCCTCTTTCAGCAGAAGTCACATTTCCCACCTGCTTCTTTCCTTTTAAACTAATGATTTTTGAAGGTTTATTAGGCACAGTAGAAATGCCCGTTTCATCCACATTATATACCCTGCTTGCAGGAAACTTGAACTTATCAAAAAGCTCAATTAATAAGTCAAAGAAAGCCTTTACATTTTGCCGGTTAAATGCAGAGGCTCTCGCTAAAGAAGTATTTTCCGGACATCTAAGGGATAATTGTGGGTGGCGCTTAAGAAAACCATTAACCCAATCCTTCCCAGCCCTCCCTGTCTCTGCATTAAAGGCATGTGCTTTGTTATTTTGCTGAGCAAACTGATAGGCTAGGTATCTAAGGTCAGAAATTCGTAAACCAAAAAACCTTTTCTCCATGAATAAACAGTGGTTTACTAAATCGAGTTCTTCTTCATTGGAGAACACTTTTCTAAATCTCCCTAACTGTTTTAAAGAAACAGAGTTTGGCTCGCCCTCTTTTTTGGCTCGCCTAAAGAGAGTGGTACACGGTACCTCATAATGTTCAGTCGCCTCTTGAAAGCTCATTCTTCCATCCCTGACAGCTAAAGTAGCAGCAGACATGTCGGTTTCCACCCACTTTTGTTGAGACGTTTTTCTTTTATAATTTCTCACCATTTCAACCTGTAGAAAAAAAAACATTTAGCACCTGTCACCTGGCGGGGCAAAGTGGAATAATTCCACTTTGCCCCGTTTCACTTTGCTCCCAGTGCAGTTTGCAGATTATAACCAAAATCACAAAATTACAGTAAACATATTTAATGAAAAATGCAACGAAACAAGAAGATAAAAGCAACGTTTACAAGCAGTAAAATTTTGGAATACTCACAATATCATCCACGAACTATACACAAAATCTATGAACTTAAATAATTATATCAGACAATTCGTAAACAACGAATTGTAAATAACTACTGCACGAATGGCGCGAATATGGTATAACTTTTGACTGACTAGTGGTGTGTTGCTATGCTTAAAATTTCACCGATTGTCGATAGATTGAGCTGTGTATTCCGGAATAATTACAATCATTCCACTTTGCCCCTCATTTCGCTTTGCCCCGCTTTCCCCCATCACTTTATAAAACCACTTTTTGAAGCGCATCCAGTCTAAACTTGAATGCCTTAGGAAATAAGAATGTGGCAGAGATGGTTACATTTTGCATCTGGTAAGGATCGCATTTTCCGTATCGATCACCACAAGAGGAAACCTTATCACTCGAAAGGGGAGGGACATCTTTCGCATCTTCCATAGACCGCCGATTAACTTCGAACGCCTTTTCCGTGTCAACCGGTGACTAGCATCGACCGCCTAATCACTCGAAAGGGGAAGGGACTTTTTTCGCATCTTCCCTAGACCGCCGATTGACTTCGAACGCCTTTCCTGTATGAGCCGGTAGCTGACATCGATCGCCTCATTTCTCGAAAGGGGAAGGGACAACTTTCGCATCTTCCATAGACCGCCTTTTTGTTAGCGACCACCGCGACAACCGGTAACTAACATTAATTGCCTCATCACTCGAAAGGGGAAGGGTCATCTTTCGCAACTTCCATAGACTGCTATAAAAATCCCCGGAAACTTGTGAATGCGGACGCAGTCGTCAAAATCTATGGCAGTCTTCCACAATCTCGGTGATTTCTGTGGTAGTCTTTCGGAATCTCAGTAATTTCATTGGCAGTCTTTGAAAATCGCAAGATTCACAATATATGTACATTTTTTAATGTGGAGGATAACTCCTCGGTATTTTGTTAAACATAGGAAAATACTGCTTCATAGCGAACATGAACAAAAGTATGTCTAGAAATAAAAAGCGATAACAACGCGTGCATTTTTAAGATAAAACGTTTGTTAGACCGAATTGTAAGGGGGTTTTTGGGCAGACGAGTTTAGAGCTAGCACATATTATTGTGTGTAAGAGTTTGCGCACAATTAATTTTTTTTATGCCGTTTTCGCTAACGGTTACGTATCATTTTAGGTACGTGGTTATTTTGTTTCATTGATTGGAAATTTCCATTTAATTTTAGTGATGCCATTTCTTTGGTTGGATTAAAATTTTGTTTAGCATAGTGTGTATATTTTAAACAGTAATATATTATGTGGTAAAGATGAATTTTAGATAAGGATCAAATTTAGCATGGACACGTTGTCATTTTAAATTGTTAAATTTACTTTTTGAACGACCCTCGTATATTTCAATCAACCAAAGGAATTTACCTATTTATTCGAGTTTAATCAAATCAGAACATTGGATTTGAATTTCAGATTTTTGAGAGGAAATAAAGGGCCAAACATCCCCAAGGTAAGGGGTATGAAAACATTTTTATTACTGAGCTAGCCGTGGGTAAATTAAAAATTAAAAATGTTTGCCAATGCCGTAGAAGATCAATTTTATTTTGTGCAAGTGAAATCGTCAACCCTTGTAAATGGTTACATTTTAGAAAATTCTAACCCTTGAAATTCCGAGCCTGCGAGATTTCAAATGTAGGACGACTAACTACAAAAACTGTATCTTTTAAATCCGAGAGATTTCGTATTTCGATATTAAATTAAAAAACCAAAAGGAAATCTTGATCCGGGCCCGATCGTGAAAGAATGAATGCAGTTTTATCATTTACACGGAATTTAATTTGAAATACCTACTTTTCCCAGAAGACATCGAAAAATAGCACCGAAAACCACAGTTTTACCGATGTTCCCCCAAGTACCTTTGCTTCCAAAGTTTATGACCTTTTTTAGCTTCCGGGCCGGCGAATATAAACGCTGGAAAATAACATTACCAACGATATTTAACGGCGAATTTTCCATTCGAGGTAAAAAAGTCCATATATTGGTTTTCATAAATGCGAAATGGCGGAAGAAGTAAAGCCTTAATGTGTATGTAAAGTAATAATGCGTTCATCTCCGTAGGGAACCTGGGCGTTAAAAGCGTCGACTATAATTTCCCCGTAAAAATTAATAACTGACGCCATTAAATCGCGATTTACATAAAAACAGCATACGGCTTCCTCTACCTAATAAAATTAAAACCAACTTTAATGAAATACTAAAGTGAAATGTTCATTAAAAAGGATAAATTATTTATGCGCTCTTAGTGAAAAGAGTTAGACGAAATTGTATCCCTTTCAAATGCGATTGCATCCATCATCTTCCTCCAAACGATATTGATGATGACAATAATAAGACTAGAGAACTATTATATTTGAAACACGATATTATAGTTATCCGAACAAAATCTTTCAGTGGAAGTTATTGTGGCAAACTTGTAATTAGATTTGCGACTCGGGAAGTTTCTAAAATGTTTTCAAGGTATCGATTTGTAAGTTTTATATTTCTCCCTTAAAATTCTCTCTCTTGAATTTAGTTTAAACTTTCCAACACGTACCTCCGCCCATATGA